TAGGCAAACTTGTATGTAAAATAAATAAATGATCAGTTGAGAAAGTGACTAACTTACTAAATGAACTCTACAATAAAGCCGCTTTGGTATATTTATGTTCTAAATCTTCTGACAGTGTGAGAATACTTTGCAATGAAGGACAAAAAAGTTTCGCGGGTTTCAAAAATGTTTATTTCAAAAATGTTAAGTTGATTGACCGAAAGCGGTGTGCTAGCTGAAATTACTTTAGCAGGATATAAACGGTTGCTCTAATATCTTTCCAAAACAAAGCGCAGTGAGTTTCAGTTTAACACGTCTTCTGTCTGTTTTCTTGATTTATACCCTCAGTAAATAACAAACCGAGCTTTAGAAGAGTTCTTTTAAAATTTTACGTTAAAAATTTATTATATATTTTATTTCTCTTTAAAAATTATAAGCCTTCAAGCGAATCTAACTTTATTTAATTGGATTTGTTTTAGCATTTAATTTAAATCATTATAAGGTAAACGCACCCATTTCCGCTAGTTTAAGACAAGTTCAGATTGACATGCAAAAAATAAGGACATCTTTAATAACTGGCATCTCTTTAATTTTTTTTTTCAAGTACAAAAATTATCAACCTTTTTAGTCTGATATAAAAAATTATTATCAAAATATTATTCATCTCAGGACTCCAACGATGAAATGTGCAATTATTCTTTAAATCGTTGGTTTACATACCAAATCAATATTCAATGCAGACAAATATTTTCTCTAAAGCAACTATTTGACTAATTTTAATACAACGCTTCCAAATAATAGTTTCATGAAACGGGCGGTAATGGGTGCCGATTTTATGGGGTCGTTATTAGGTGCGTTTACCTTAATGTGTTTATCTTAACATTATTATTTGTGCATTATCTTAACGTGGTGCAGTGTGGAGATAGGACAAGAGTCCATTAATTATACGTATGTCACCTTGGAGTGACGACCTGTGCAAGTGTGTGAGGGAGGTGGCAGAGGCTCTGTGGGAGAGGCCTATTTTCAGCAGTGGTCTCAAACAGGCTAAACTGATGATTGTTGTCGCCTTTGTCATTACAGTTACTCGACACAGACCACGTTTTCATATTCCATCTTCCCTACCCCATCTCTCTACAAGGGATTTCAAATAAAATTTGTTAAAAAATAATAATTTACTCGGGTTAACCATATCTTTTTCCTTTACAGTAACCACGCCAAAATTAAGCCTTAAAGTTTTTATATAATCATAAACCACATATTAACGTCTTAAATCTGTAAATAATATCAGGGTCATTTATTATGTGTCGTAATGTGACAAGCTTGACGTATTTCCGTAGTGTGAACAAATATGAAACAGTTTTTGGCACGTATATAACGAAATAATAGAACACTATTTTTGTTTCACGTCTCGATATTTCAGGATTGTTTTACCGAACAAAAATCGATTTGAATATTTTTGTCAACTAGTTCCCAATATTTTTATGTAAAACAAATCTGCACAAGGGATTTTATTACTCTACTAGTACATTAGAGACTCGTTTTCAAAATTTATTTCTATTATGCTTTAAAAGTTGATAAAATATAGAGTGGGCTGTTTTGATCTGCCGTATTTCAACGGTATGGTAAAGGTCTGTAAATTTCATTAATCAACTCAATGATATAATACATCTTCATCTTGCGTTGCAATTAAGTTTTACACGGAAGAACTTTTCGCGACAATGTAAGGGCGTGGTTCTTTAAGTGCTTGAAAATTGCGAATGCGTCGATAAGTTATAGCAACTTAACACGTGTACATTTTCTCTTTTCATATCTCTCCCATATCACGTAAACGTAGACTACGTGATAGGACATGGTCCATAAACAACTTAACTAAATTTTAGTTCAGTATTAGACAACTTAGAACTTTCTATCTTTATAATATTTTTATATTTCAACAGTATGGTAGGACCACGCAACAGTGTTCGCTGTCGCACGAATGGGCAGGACCGTCCGGGTTAGTACCACAACCTCACAGAAGACCGGCTCGAAGTAGAAACGTTACACTTCTGCATTTCGCCTGGCGAGTGAGGTAGCCGGGGCCCACTTTATTAAAAGTTGGCAACGCGTCTGCAAACCTACGCGTGTTGCAAATGTCCATAGACGGCGGTTATCACTTAACATCTGGTGCCACTCAACCAGCTCGTTTGCCACTTTCTCACACAATTTTTTTTTAATATGTTATGAGGACACTGTTGGGTAGCAAGTCCCAACGAACACTGTGACCTAGGAAGATCTTTTGTTTGTTTCCCTTCGAAGAAATTGCCCCCTCACTGCAGGGTAACATTAACCCGTGTTGTAAGGATATTTTACATTCACGTGGACAAACACACAGGTCCGAAACAACTATCTGTGGGGTGATACAAACTGTTGCCCCGTTTGAGAATCGAACCCACGATCGCTGGCTCCGAATACCTTGGCAACTGCGCCACGGAATCATCATGAAATTTGAATACACCAGCACCATTTCACTCTGAGTCTACAATTATTGCGATTTGTGACTCTATACTTTCGTTTATATTGAAATATACTCAATGTTCAATTACATGATGTAGAAGCCTCATTTTCAAATAAACAAGTTGAGAGTTCGAATCTTATATTTAAAAAGCTTTTGTTCATTTTCAATATGTAATGTAGAGATTTATTTTCATGTATTTTTAAACATTATGGTCAAGCCATTTGAGATCAAAGGCTATTGTAATTTAAATAATTTCTTCATATAGAAGACCGCAATATGGAGTTATAAAGTTGAGTGGAATTGGTTTTTAAGCAATAGAAAGTAATTTTAAACATATAAGTGGATAGACGATGGAAGGGTTAACTTAAGATACATATGTAAATTTTCTCTGTACTTTCCCCGTAGTAGAAATTAATGGCCTTTGTACTCTGTAAAGCCTAAGTACATAATATCGCTTACGTTAAGATCATTTACAGTTCGCAAACGCGCTCTTCTACTTCACTTAATCTTTAAATATGCGTACTTTTGTTGTTACATACTACAATAATATAAATTTCTTTATGACTATAGTTTCTTGACTTGTTAGCTCTAACGCGTTTTCCATTTTCACTGCCTACAACTTAACAATAAGCAAATGGCAGTTAGTGATAAAAAACGCACTTTATACATTTCTTGAGTGTCACTCAAATGTTCACGCACATTCCTCGTAAACCCTTTGGCTTTTGCGAGCGAACTGACTGTTATCAACAACATAGAGCGGTCTACGAGCGACCATCGTAATATTTACGATGGCCGTTAACTATAAATTGTCGCACGTCATATCGTATCAAACGTAAGGCGCCTTTTAGCAAAGCGCATTATACCGTTTATGTGAAAGCTAACGAGTCCAAAGAATAAGTTGCCGTCGATTCATTTTATAATATGTAAATGTGCTAACCGTCTTAGGGAACTGTTTTAACTCGTAACGGTTAAAAGTTTAGTTAAAATTAACGCAAACATTGATAACTTTAAATTATTTCGAAATTGTTAAATGTAGGTCTTTCAGAAGCGTAAGATGTATGCGTTCATTTTGATAAAAACTGTACACGAATATATGGATTCAATTAATTGTAATTTAGTATTGGGCCTGCGTTATTTTTTTTTTATAAATGAAAATTTTATGTAAATACTTTTCGATTACTTACTAGCTTGTGTTTGCCTTTTTTCTTATACAGAGGAGGCCTATTCCCATGACTGGATATATAATATGTTATTGGCTGTATATGGGCGTAATATATAGGCTTATAATTTACTTTATCAGTAGTGGAAAATCATTCAAAATGTATTTCGAACTTCAAGCGGGTTTCATCAGCTTATTACTTGGGCCTTAAACCCTTGGAAATCGATTTGCTCTGGCGTCCGTCAAATAACGCTGAGTGGGATCTCTCAGATACCTTTACATCTAGCCGGGGGTGTCATCAAGTCGCCCGCTGCTTTAAAATCGTAAGGAATGTGATCTTCTTTGATTTCATCACATTATTCTTTTCTTTCTTTTAAAAAAAAAACATTGTCCTTACTTTATGTATATAAGAAATAACCAGTGTGTCTGGAGAGCTTTTATGCATCATATGGAATTGAGTCACGACTAGGTGTTATTTTAAAATGGGTAAGAGTTATCAGCCATTTAGACACACTTATGATACAAAATGGACATCTGCTGATAGACGTGGTTTTTAACTGTAATTCTTACGGCTGCTTTAATGCGAAAGGGGCAGGTTAAAACGTGAAAGATGATCGCATTAAAACCCAACCCGCTGTTCTGTTCGCGCCACAGCTAGAAAACTCGAAACAGCTTCGACCCTCAACTGGGGTAGTTCCCGCCCTGTGGGGACAGGAAAACTTCCGGTAAACTTGAGATATTGCATACCACGACACTGCAGAGAGGGCAAAGGCGGGTTATTGATAAATTTGTCCCAAAGCGGAAGCTGCAGTGCCACGTCCGTTTCCGGTAAAAGCTCACTTTGAACTAATCGCTTCCGAAACTTCAATTTGAAATATACTACTGTGGGATTTCTCGCGACTGATTCTACAACACTCTGCTTCAGGGTCGGAAAATTCAAAAGGAACTATAGGAAGCTACGGTGTCCTATATTCAGTTTATAATAAAAAACATTGTGAAACAGAAGTTCAATGACTATAGTTTTACAATGTAGTTACATTGTTTTGACAACCAATAATCAATGTTAGTGCCAACGAACAAAAGAACAATCCACCGGCAACCTGCTAAATAAAGGCTATCCCCCAAGCACTGGATTCGAACAACGCTGACCACTCGATTCTAATCTGAAATCGAATGTCCAAACGCTAAACCCAATCTGAACACTCCCTCTAGCTGGGATTGCGGTCATGTTACGATCCGATACTTAGAACTGTGGGACAGTCGTTTGCTATGAACTGTAAATGTGCCAAATCCTGTCAAAGGATATAGAATTGAAGTTTATCTCAATAAGGATTCAAATAAATAAAAATTTGGGTTGTTCAGAGAGAAATGAGAGGTGAATTTATTGTTATATATTATTTTTTAAAAATATATCTTAGCTTCTATGTTGCGTATAACGAAGTCTAAACTTTAATCATATAAACCGTAAGAATAATAAACAAATACGGGGTATGAATAATTGTTACTGGGATTTTGTGTACGTATATTTTTGTGTGCTTTACTAATTTTTTTTTATTGATTTACCCTATCATATCTATTGATATGACCATATTGGCAATACTGAGAAAGCATATTTAACACGTCTTTTTGAAAAAAAGCTTTACTAGAACTGAAAATATTTAATGATTTTAGTGGATTAATTTTAGCATCAGTTTTGAGTACAAACAATGACAGTATTGCGAAGTTGGCTGCCTGAACTAACGGAGATACGTAAAATAACTTTGAGCCTGGTAAAATTAGATGGTGCCTTCAGCTAAAAAATAGCTGTGTCAGTTTTATATCATTCATGTAGTGGTTATATGTATGATTCTGTAAAAATTCCATTTCAACAACAGTTCGTTTACTGTGTAGACCAGCAAGTATTTTCAAATATTAAAAAAAACTAAAACAAATTTAAGCTCAGCTGCTTCTTCAACCATGGACTTACGTTACATAATAGGGATTCCAAATATCACTGCGATGTTCTGTTTTTTATGTGAGAGGTGGCAAACGAACTGGTGGTTTACCAGATGTTAAGTGATAACTCTCGCTCATGGACATTTTCAACACCCGTAGGGTTGCCTTGCCACCTTTTAATAGAAAGGGCTTCGGTAGTAACTCACTAGGCGAAACGCAGAAGTATTATTATGCATCCACTTCATGCCGGTATTCTATGAGGTCGTCGAACTTCCTCGAACTGACATGACCATTCATGCAACAGTGAAGATTGTTGCGTGGCCTACTACCACAGTTATGGTTGACGACAACATAAGTTATCTTATTCAGTTAGTTATGTAGTTAGTTAGGATTTTCTTTTTTCTTCTGTTATGTCTTACTAGCTTTTGATCTCCTTTTATTTTTTCCACGTTCCAAGTTTCGTATATAATATTTCTCGTGCTTTTGTATATTTCGCTATTATTTCCAAGATATCTGAAGTATCTTTAACCAGTGCAAAAAACGTAGTTTCTCAATAGTTCTTAATTAATCTAGTTAATTACGAAAAGACAATGCTTTAATTAAGTTACCACCTTTTAATGAAATGGGCCCGGGATACCACACTCACCAGACGTAACTCAGGAGCATAGCACTTTCACTGTACACCGGTTTTCTATGACACTGTGTACGTCACCATACGGACCTGCCCATTCCTGCAACAGTGAAGACTGTTGCGTGGCACTCGAGTACGATCTGCACTTAGATAAAAAGCTTTCTGTCTAGATGTTCTAATATTATTTTAATATTTTAGTAAGATTAAAACAAAAACAATCAATCTAGTGCGAAATACTAGATGATACTAGTACTATCACAGAGAGAAAGTTGCGAGGAAGCTTCTACTCAATCCTGCCAACTGACAAAGTGAGAACGAACTCGAAACAACTTCTCCGCGGGGAGACCATAACGCTACGGCATTTTGCACTCGAAACTTCAATTAGTTCCGCTCCACCTTGGGATTACCCTTTTCAAAACGCGCCTTATCAAATAAACAGGATATAAACTAAATGAGTTTCGCTTAAACTTACAAAGAGATTATTTTAGTATACTTCAAAGTTTTGGAACTCGTTTGTAATGCGTATAATTAAACCTAAGTGTAAAGAATCGCCTAGTCATCCATTGGTGCATTATTAAATGATTAAAAAAATCGATTGTAGTATACTAATATTTGTTTATTAATGCCCGGTTCCAATATTCAACAAACGGCCGTTAGTTAGGTAGCTTCGTAAGTTTCAAGTAACGACTTGTAGGTTAAAGGAATGCTAGTCACTGACTTTCAATGGCTCGTAAGAAAAACGCCTCGTTTTGTTAATATAGGAACCGGGCTTACACACCTACCGGTCATAGGAGATGTTCGGTGCTTACCGCGTGTTGATAATACACACCTCATGGTAATTTACCTAAGACACGATAGATGGATATCTTTTTATTTCATTTTCACCGAGAATCGTTTATCTTGACAGATCTTTATATTTATGATTTAGGTAAAAAAATCAAACAAGACATACGACACGTCCTTAGAGATCAATTCCGATAGCAGATACGTAAATAACGACTTCTTGAAACCGAGTCCTTCGTAAGTTACAAGCTTAGCGAGTATTTAATATTTTGTACATATTTTTTAAATTAAGACTAATGGGCTTAGTGGTGGGTTCCGTTCTCATACGCTTATACGTATGTTTCTTAACACCCGATGCACACTTCACTGACACAAAACCGATTGCGTTTGTGTAAATGTGTGCATGTAGCATAAAGGTCTATCGACTACCAAGGTTGTCCTGTTAAGTCGTTAGCGTATAAAGAAACATAGGAAAATTTATGACACGAGTATCACCAGTAATGGAAGTGAACTCTTAAGCTCTCGTAAATAATATACGCAATGATAATTAATAATTACACAATGCGTGGTACATTAGCTTTTCTTACATAGCGTCTGACGAGTAAACTACAAAGCTCATGTCTTATTCTATCGATTTATATTTCGTATATATATATATATATATATATACACACTTGTATTAATGTCTTTTCTCTCGTGTAACGTCTAAACGTGAAGCAAACTTTAAAATTTTACTGTCAATTCTTGTTCACTTTTGGATGATATGATATGATTGGATACCGATGTGATAATATTCATTTGACAGTTCAGATATCCTGGCAAGCTTTTTACACCACCTTGTCTGCACCGTGACCAGTGTGAAAAGTATCGGTGATTTAAATAAAAATTGTATGCAGTGAAAATATTATGAATATTTATTAAATTAATTGAACCCACGATCCTAATATTGGGAGCATTGCGCTAATACCTCCGCTTATGCCTTAGACCGCGGCGTCTACACTCGGTGCGATTTGGTCCAGCATCCGTCACATAACGCTGAGTGCGCTCCCTCGGGCACAAGGCACGTCGAGACCGTCCCAATTATAGGCGCTCATCGATCCGTCTCCGGCTTGAGGAATCTTGACGAAGACGTGCTATTCCTGTGTGTTTGTATAGCATACGTCTTACACGTCTTTCACGACTTAAAGTTGTCGATGCGCTCGTCACTCGAGTCGTTAATGTGCATGCGAGGTGGTGAACACTTTTCATAAATTTAACACGTTCTCGTGTTAAAAAATGTTTTTACTAAGGCAGTTCATAAAATTCATTTTGTCAATGTGGCGAGGTGGCAAGAAATTAAATAAATAAATAAATAAATAAATATTGCGGTTCCAACCGAAAACAGTACAAATCGATTACCTCACTCACCAAAAGAATCGGAAAGTTATCTATATCATTATTATAATATATATTAATATTAATATCTCCACTTACGCTGGTCTTCCGTGAGGCTATGTAACCTCCACCGCCTATCGCAGATATTTCGTACTGACGAAATTGTTGCTATACGAGTATTTTGTTTATTAGCTGCTAATGGACTTTCACGGAAACAAAATTCTTATCATTACTTGATAGCGTACATTTTAATGACAAAAAGCATTGTAAGAGATTAGATTATTTTTTTGATTAACGCCTGTGTGTCATGAGTAGTAGAAAATTTGAAAGATTTTAAAAAGTTTTAAATTGAAAATCGAAATGGTCATTCAAAACAATGTACGATCTGTTATTTATTTCACCATTACACGAATACTGTGTTGAGATTCAATTAAAAAAATATGACTGAAGTTACTGTATGATGCTCTGTTAAAAGAATGTGGTATAAAAATAGAGAAAAAACACCAGAAAAAATATAACACAGATATTTCTACATATATTAACATTATAATAAATACGCTTATTACTCTACATACAATTATGTACGAATGAATAGGAGAGATAAATCATAAAAACTATATCTAATGATGTTATTGCTATAGGCCATAGCTATTAGTAGTTCGTTCAATTTCGAAAGGAAGTGTATTCTAGATTAAAATAGATTGGACAGGACAGGATGAAAGAAGCTGAAGTTGTAGGGAGGGCACTGTAGTAAAAGTTTTAGAATGAAGGGTTCGGTCATTGTTAGAACACGTAAGTAAGGAGTTAAGTAGGATAGGGAGACATGAGCACTAAGGGTATTGAATACATGCAAACTACGGCGTCAACGAATAAGGAACCAGCAGTGTTGAAACCAGTGAGATGACAAATTTTGATACTTTCGAGAATTGAAATGAATCTAATGCAGTTCTAAACAATACGATCGAGGTCTTCATTCAATTAGCCCACAACACAGTATTTAATTAAGATGTGCATGATCACTACTATAATATTCGATGGAAGAAATTCTATAGAAGATGGATAGAAGAATTATTCCGATTGCTCCCTACTACATTGGCCCAACACTTAACTGAATTAGCAGAGGAACCAAATCTGTCGGACCACAGCTTGATATTTTCTAGATCTTTGTTAATCACCTCTTCCACTGCAGATACACAATCTGAGCTTGAAGTAGTGGAGCTTTAAATAATCGGCAGACAGATGTACCCCTTGCATTATAAGCGCTTCAGTCGAAAGGGTGCTATTAAATGTTTACGTAACGGATATAGTAAATTTCAATAAGCCACGACTCTTCCCCATCCTTAAATCAACCGTACACCGGCAAACATTAGGCGTAAGCGATTTCGCATTGAAAAAGATTATTGTACCCAATTTCCCACCGGCCTTCGGATTTTGCATTCAGGCCTCGTCGGGTCCGGGGAATATTTGCCTGGCGTAAATATGGGAGCAACGAGGCACGGAGCTAGTAAGTACATCGAGGTGTTACTATTTGTTTAAGTTTGGACTAAAACCTTTCTGTCGGATTTACTTGTGCAGGTAAAATAGGACTAGACTAGATTGACTCCTTTACATTCATTATGAGATCAGTTTATTCAAACTTTCGTTTGACTTTTTCCGAATTATAATATTTTTTTAGAAAAAAATTGTTCAGATTCAAAATCAAAAAAGTATTAAAAATCCTTTCATGCACTGTCGAAAATCTTCCGGAATTTTCTTTGTTTATAAATGAGTAGGTGAAAATCCATTCTGTGGTTCAACTAATGTTACTTCAAAACCACTGCTCGTGGACATCTGCTGTATCTATACCTACCACACGTAGAAGATGCGTTGCACACCTTAAACCCCTTGGCCCTAACATCGTAAATTTATATTCTTTGACCTTAAACACAACACAATAAAACTGTACAATAATTTGGTACCAATATTTGTCTTCAGTAATTCAAGCCATATTAAATGAAAGTATGTTTTTCATTGAATAGACTATGAAGTGTAATAATTTATAATAATATTTTAACGAACACTGCACAATATTTATTGACTAATTCTAACGGATTGCGTTTAATTTAACAAAAACTTACTTTCTACTACTATTAACATTCTTTCATGACTTCTTGCATTCTTGGTCACGGAGTATTGACATTTTCACTAAATATTTTAGATTGTCCAGCCTCAAACTAAGCAAAAATGTTTTAGGTACTATGTAACCGATAAACATACTTTAACATTAAATCCTTTTCTTAATAAATACATATTATGGATAAGTACCTGGAGGTTGGAAGTTTGCTCGGTTTATTTTTGGTAAATCATGTATTTTGGAAATAAAAAAAAATAAAGAAAGCAATGATCAGGTATAGAAAAAGAAGACAAGAAAATAAGTGTGTAAATGATCGTGATACGAACCGCGGCTGTCTGTTTTGGGGCCGCCCGATTACCGACCGAGCTACAATAACATTTTTTTTGCGTCTAAATTTACCGTCATATTCGAATGATATTTTACATTCACTGAAAACAGGGAAAAAAAGGACATTTTCTAAAAATGAAACCTAGCTAGATCGATTTTTCGCCCTCGAATCTACGCACATACCTACTAAATTTCATGAAAATCGCTGGAGCCGTTTCCGAATATTTCTCGTAGTACAGATCGAACCTCGCCATGCCAATGTGATCTTTAAAGACTGCAACGTATACTAAATTTTTTATTCTAAGAATTTATCCACAATGAAGGAAAACCGGTTTTTCATGTTTCTATGATTTCGGAAACCGAAGTATTTTTATTTATACACCACGTCAAATCAATAGCAACATTTACATAACTTAAATTCCTTTAAAACCACGTATCAGTTCTAATTATAAACCACGGCGTTGTTACTACACAATTATCCAGTTATGGGCGTTATACATAAAGCGGCCTACTTTGAAGGCCTTTGTCTACGTAGCACTAAGTAATGCGGATCGTTGCCAGGTGGCAGCTATCTCGCGAACAATTCAACTCAGGCACGGAACACAAACATCATAGGGATGTTGTTTTCCGTCGCCTTTAGGCATTCATATCACTGATCAGAGAAACCAATGTTCCGTTATAAATATTCATTATCAATCGCTTGGTTAGTTTTGAACGTTCAAAGCACACTATTCGTTTTTAGACAACTTGCGGAACATTTTCATCGCTAAAGAGAAGGCTCATTAGTACAACCTCGTATATTAAAAGCATTATTTAGGCTCATTTAGACGTTGAATCTATTTACTTACCTCGGCCAAACGTAGTAGATAGATTTGTAATGTAAGTGTAGTCCGAAACGAATGAATAATATGACGTCATATCACATCACTCTTCCACCCGAACCCTTACACAAGGCCACCACTCCGACACCCAATAAAAGAAGGGCTCAATAAATGAACAGACAGGCCCTGTAGGCAGTATATTAAAAATCACCCTTAGGAAACTAAAGTTATAAAAGTAAAATCTGATAGACCAAGACCATATATTTGATGTTTGTCTTCATAGACCTATCAACAAAAGTATATTCCCAATCTTACTTTTGTGCATTAGATTACTAATAAATGTCTTTCTGCTCTTCTATTGTAATATATACATTCTGGAAACATATTTTAAAAGTGACAACTGTTCAATTCGTATTCAAAGTTTTTCGTGAATTTCGAATAATTATTACTAAAGTGTTTTTTTTTTTTGTAACTGACATAATGTCTTAGTACGTTCCAAGCATAAATGATAAGATTAAGTCCCTCGGTCTCTATATTCCTTTTAGGAGGTATATCAAAGATTTGTTTACGTGATATGTGATAGCATTGTGATATTCGCTTATGTTTAGGTTGAATTATCTGAAGCATATACAGGAAACCGGATACAGCTCTCCGATTGCGAAGTGTGCCTACTTGTGTCGAGCCCTTTCCTGCTGAAGCCGCTGAATGGGGATTCATTTCCACGTATATGAAACCGTCCTGTTTTCATATAATTGCGAAACCTTTATTATTCGTGGTTTGAACATTGCAATAGCAACACTATTTTATTCGCATTTCATATTTAAAAAGAGTTTAGTAAATAAATTTTGCTGCCGTATTTTTATAACGCAAATAGCAGTTGTTTATGTTTATTTGTAGAGCATATAATTTTCCTATACGGTTAACTTTTTAATACGTTTTGATATTCAGTGATATATAAATAATATTTATAGATTCATAACGTAAACCTCAAAACAAGGTTTACTTCAAAAAAATTACTTATTTCATCATAGAAACGATTTATAAATACCTTTGACTTGCTTCTTAAAAAGTGGTGTATAGATTAAATTCATCAAAAATTTATGTTTTGGCACAATAATTGAATGAACAATACGAAATAAAAATAACATTTCGGAGAAGTGTTGTGCATATTATTTTCAAAATTTCGCTCTTTAAAGATTTAAACTACGAATGTGTAAAAATAGCAAGGGTAATCTGGCGTATTCAAAGGACATGAGAATATTGATTACGCATGAAGAATAATAGTTTCGTGAAGCATTGGAATTCCATCACATGCTGAAAGTATATAACAAACCCGATTGATGAACCAGGAATGATCCATCTGTGTTGTATTATTACCTCGCGAATACCATTAAAAGGTGTCAACGTATCTGCAACCCTAAGGGTGTTGCAAATGTAAATGGGCGGCCGTTGTCACTTTACATCAGGTGAACCACCGGCTCGTTTACCTCCATCTCACATAAAATGCAGCTCATAACAGTCATCCTCCATACAATTACACATTTCTGTTTCTGTATACAATTATACGTATCCGTTTCTGCTGTGCGACAATTTTACACGGGTACAAAGTCCAAAGTACAGTAATAAGTAAACTTTATATATATATATATTATAGAGTATATATCTTCTCTTGAATCTTCTATCACTTTGAATCACTCTATCTAGTAAAAAAACCGCATCAAGGTCTATTGCGTAGTTTTAAAGATCTAAGCGTACATACGTACAGACAGACAGCGTGACGACTTTGTTTTATACCATGTAGTGATATCATAAGCAATGCGCCATAGTATACTCGTGCATAGCGATCGTTGTTGAAACGCAACTCTTCGCAGTTGGTACAGGGAGACCGCTGGTGGGGCGATGAGGGAGATGCGCGAGGCGGAGGGGGGCGGCCGCTACAGCATGTCGGCGGATGCTCTGGGCATCAGGAGAGCGGAGCAGACGGACGACGGGAGGTGGGCGTGCCGAGCGGCCAACACCCACGGGCACCTCACCCTGCGGCTACACCTGGCTCTACGCGCGCACCTCACAGTCCACACGCAGCCGCACACTCAGGTATTTAGCCAACGATCAAATAATTAATGTTTCGTGGAATCCTTTCAGACAACGTTATCTAGACTCTTGGAAATTAGCTGACGGGGACAGCTCGATAAACGACACGTTAAGGCAACGTTATACAGACCAATGGAAAGTAAGCATTGGAGACAGCCAATATAAACTTAGAAGTCACGGTCGTCAGTTATCAGGGGGCGGTTAAAAAGAAGTACCCAAATTAGCCGTGATAGCTCCCCATCCGAGAGCTCGCTTTTGATTTATACGTATTAAACGAATTGTACGTGCTATGTACATACCATAATGTTTACATATAAGGTAGTTTTGAGATATAGGATCTGTGATCCTTTAAGAATTTGTCCACTATGTCAAAGAGTTGCCGAAAGAGTTATCAACATCTGACCGATAAGAATTTATATTTGTATTCAGTATGAAAGCGTTGTGATCCTGTAAAACATGAAAATGCCAAAACTCGTCTATAATTTCTCTTCGTACGTAATTTATGAACATATGAAGCAACAAAAAATCTCCGACAATAATAACAGGGCGTCCGCTTGGCAGCCTAACGAACGCCGACCCCCGCGCTCTATCACAAACGAAACAAATTACTCGGCAGCTGATCCGATCAGTTCGGGAGACTCGTTACTGCGACGTAAGGGTCCGATGTTTGGAACAGTCCTATTTGCAATTTCTTATTTACAATCACGGAAGACCTCTTCGAATTTCATTTGTTTATTACCAACAAAGTACGTACACTGATACAGAACAAACATACAAGGTTTACAACAAAGCGATTTTGGTACCTTATTTAATATAAGTAAAAACTCCTATTTAAAAGACAGCAAGCACAAGCAAGAAAATTGGTAATATAATGTGAAGGAGAAATACAAACATAATAATAGTTATATAAATAAAGGTTAATATTCACTTCAGATAGTAATTTTAATATTCTTTTTTAATTAAATAGTACAGCCCACAATTTCACGCGATTCTGATTTAATTTTCTGTTGCAAATAATTTCTGATTAACAAGCTTGAATTGAGTGTATCTAGATTGTTTGTCGTATGCGGTTGTCACGTTTCTTTATAGAGTAGTACTTATGGAGTAATGATATTACACACAAGTAAAGGGTAAATATGTCACTATAGCACTGAGAAACTAAGATACTAAAATTACGCCAATGCGTGTAATGCGTGCAACTCTATAGACTACTATCTCTTTCCGTATCATACGTTCTATATTATCTGTCACATTCACTTATATAGGTCATTTATAATCTATAGCGGAACAATTTTCAAACGTCACGCATTATGGACATGCGTTATCTGTATTAAGACATCATTGATAGTACCATCAAACTTCTATAGACTTAACGTCTTCATCTTGCAATACCTCATTTACACTTAATAATTTACAATAATTAAAAATATTAACTCTATAACAAAATTATAAATCTCAGCATAAGAAGTTTACTCACTGACAATGACAAGAATAAATCTGCTTCAACTCAACCCAACTATAATTATACATTAAGAACATTATTAAAATTGTATAATTGAAGCGGAAAAATGCTTTACTAAATTGAAAAGTTTTGTTTGTTCTCATAATTACTCTCATAATTAACTCGAAACTAAAACCATAATGTTTGTAACCTAACATTTTGATGTTTCGAATTAAACCAGCCACCTAATTAAAATGGCCCGGGCGTGGCTTAACTGTATGCAGATAGATATGACATGGCTGAGATTTTTACGGACTTCGTGATTTGAAATTTTAAGCAAACGTTTTTAATCTTCTATTATATAAAGAGGAAAGATTTGATTGTTTGTATGTATTGAATAGGCTCCGAAACTACTAAACCGATTTGAAAAATTATTTCACTGTTGAGAAGCTACATTATCCCTGCTTGACGTTATATGTTCAAAAAAATTAGGGATCCTTACTAAAACTCCAATAATGTTACTCAAGGTGTACAAAAATTACCTAGAATATTCTTTACATCGCGTGCGCTGCGAAAACTATTGATGATAGAATAAAATAATGTACTACGACTTTGCAGACCACATCATTATTTACAAAAACTGTCGCGACAGCATATGTCTAACTATTATAGTTATGCCACAATAAGTGTTCTTTTATTTTAAAATTTTGATTGAAATCCCGCCGCTAACAAAGGCTGTTTATTTGTATCTTGGTATTAATCCTTATAAAAATAAATTACTTCATATTTAAGACTGTTTTAATATCTTTATAAAACTTTTTGAATTATTAAATTCGGACATTCCATTCAAAAGATATCACAAGTTTAAAAATGTTAGTATATTGTTAATTGTTAAAATTATTTAACTATCCAAACAGCTTAGTGACAGACTTAGTACTTCTTATAATTCTTCAATCACATTTTTAGTGTTAATTCCTGTTCAAGATCATTTTAAAATGCCCAAAGATCAAGATCTCATCTTTCTAGAAAAAGTTCCCAAGCGAGGGCATCAAAAATACGTCGTAATGAAGAATCTTTACCGGAAACTGAAAATCGTCTTACAAGTCGGAGTGAGTCAAGTAGAGTGTTTGCAGTGGCTTGAAGAGCAAAATAATATAAATATACAAATTCACACTAGGGAATCGAGCTCTGTGCGTTTCCAACGCCGACGAGATTAGAGAGAAAGACAACAAATGTCAAGGACCAGAGTTCGTAATCGAGTTTTAGCTCACAGTAACAGATCAGTTTTTTTTTTTTTTGCATTATGCTCAACAGTCTTCTGTCCAATTCGAAGCCATGAATAAGATCTGCTCAGTGTTCGGCCTAAAAATGGGTCGATGAACCAAATGGTATGTGCTGTGCTTCTGGAAAAGTTAGTCTCCCCAATATTGAGGAGCCGCCACAGCCAATAAAAAATCTTTTGATAAATCATTCACCATCTGAACATTTTTAACCAACATCCGAAAGTACAATAGCCTCTTTCAAATGACTTCGTTTGACGCGAACTTTTAAAATTGAGGGACAAGTATACAAGTCATCATCATCTCATCATCATCATTGATGACTCCGTGGCACAGTTGCCAAGGTATTGGCTTCGGCGTCGGGGGTCGTGGGTTCGATTCCCACACGGGACAACATTTGTGTGACCCACAGGTAGTTGTTTCCTGTGTTTGTCCGCCCTCCCTACAACACAGGATAATGTTATCCTAAAGTAAGGGCAATGTTTTTTAATAAAAATTAAATTAAAAAAATCTTCCTGCCCCTATCCCACCTAGGTGGGGTCGGAACAACATGAATCATGTTGTACGCGGTTTTGGCCATATTTTTACAACTAGCCGCCTGCCTGACGTTAAACCTCCTTGGGAAACAAACACCCAGATCAAATTTCAACTGTGTAACTATCACGGTTCATGAGATAAAACCTGTTGACAGAGGGACAAACAGACAGCGGAGTCTTAGTAATAGGGTCCCATTTTACCCTTTGGGTACCAAACCATAAAATGGCCCCAGAGATACAGTGCTGCACGGTAGACACGGCCAACTTAAAAGGTTAGACCGATAGAGTTACACCGATTGCATGATCCACTACAATATCCCTTTATCGTCGTAATGGGAGAAGACGGTTATTATTTGATTATTCCTCAGCAAGGTACAGTGCGTAACAAAACTGTGACATGCATGCAATTGTATGCATTTAGGTTGATGGTTAGAGCTACCTGTTTTAAGCCATTGCATTATTACTGGGACTTATTAGGGTTCCGTACCCAAAGGGTAAAACGGCACCCTATGACTTAGACTCCGCTGTCCGTCTGTATGTCCGTATGTCATTCCATATGTCACCAGGTTGTATCTCATGAATCGTGATAGTTAGACAGTTGAAATTTTCACAAACGATGTATTTCTGTTGCCGCTATACTGAAAAACCGCAACCGCAACAAATACTAAAAAACAAAAAAATATAAATAAGTGGGGCTCCCATAAAACAGACATGATTTTTTTGCCGTTTTTATAGATAATGTTGTTTTTCACAATATGTAAGTAACTCCTATACTTCCATATTGAATAAAGATATTAAAACATGATTTTTTTTTAATGGTGATAGAGTGATAGAGTGGCAAACGAGCTGGCGGTTCACCTAATGTTAAGTAATAACCGCCGCCCATGGACATTTGTAACACCTGTAGGGTTGCAAATGAGTTGCCATCTTTAAATAAAGTGGGCCCCGGCTACCTCTCTCACAAGACGAAACGTAGAAGTATAACACTTCTATTTTACGCCGGTCTTCTATGAGGTCGGTACGGAACCCATCGTGTGCGAGTCTGACTCGCACTTGGCCGGTTTTTATTCAATACATTGTCGATATGACGGCAAAAAGATATTATAAACATTGAATTACATATGATGTCGTAATCACCAGAGACTGAGGGCTGGTGAAACATTCATCTTAGAGACGCTTTAAATCAAGACAGTGAGTGACTCATCAAATATCGGTCAACAAAAAAACCAAAGATGCGATGATTTATGTCCGAAGCTATGGGAGACTAGACTTATTTGTCACTTTTACGTGTAACCCCGAATGTCCCGTAATTATAGCGGAACCATTATGGTCAGCGGTCTTTCGATCTTCATGACGTAATTTCAAGGGTATTTCATTAAAAGATGAAGAAATTCACAAAATTATTCACCAAAGACGAAATATTCGGAATATTTTATGTGTATGATAATTTTTAGTTTTAAAAATTTTGTTAAATACCCGTGCGAAGCTGGGGCGGGCCGCTAGTGTTTTATAAAAATCCTTTCCCAAAGGCAAGAGCCGTGATGTCTCCGTGTATGGGCGCTCACTTTTAATTCAACGTAATCGACCAATCTGAGTTCAAATTCGAGTGCCAGTGCCAATGAAATTGTTAATTTTAAATGCTGACTTAGCATGTACTCAGCGGTGAAGGAAATTGTTCTTAGGAAACTTGAATATTTACGAAACAATAATAAAAAAATGTTTTAAAGATAACTAGCGACCCTCCGT